CCTGCCCTGCTGCTATTTTGGTAATTTAATAAACCATATTGGTCAATTCCGAAATAGAACAGAATTTGCCTCCAGCAGTTGTGAATGCTCCAACACTGGAAGTCTTTAAGTAGATGTTGGATAACCATTTGTTCAAAATAGTATAGGGTTTCTTGCCTAGGCAGGGGGTCGGACTAGAAGACCTCCAAGGTCCCTTCCAACTCTGTTATTCTATTCTATTCTATTTCGGAATTGACCAATATGGTTTATTAAATTACCAAAATAGCAGCAGGGCAGGCTGAAAAACAGACTACGATGCACCAAATTAATTAATCCTTGCCAAATTTAAGGTGCTAAGGCATATTATTAACCCGTTTTAAGTTACTATGCCTTAGCATGAACAATTTTAACCATTTTAAGAAATATGGACTTCAATTCCCAGAATTCCCCATGCCGGCTGGGGAATTCTGGGAGTTGTAGTCCCACCCATCTTAAAATTGTTAAGGTCAAGAAATACTATTAAGGGAAGGGCATTGCTTAGATTATTCCCGCTGAGTTTAAGAAGGCAAAGTGAAATGAAAATGCCTCCTCAATTAAGTGTTGCATTAAAATGATTATTATTATTACTTTGCACCTCTCATTCCCTCTAAGCATTTTTTCTTTAATTTGGGCCAGGGCCTTCAAGGAAGTAATCCCTGAATCCTGAAATAGGCGGGGGTTCCTGGAGGCCATCTAGCCCAGCCCCCTGCCCAGAGTAGGAATCCCAATTCAAGGAAGGAATCATTGAATGGATGGATTGGGAGAGAACTCAGAGGTCATCTAGTCCAACCCACTATCGCATCCCTGACCAATGGCCATCCAAGCTCTGATAAGACTCTTCCAGCCAATAGCAGCATAGCGTGCCCTAAATACAAACCTCAAAAAGAGATTTGAGGAACCCCAGGGTGCTAATTCCACCTCTGGGAAGGTGACTTTGGCTTCATTTTTTCAGCCTCTCCTACCTCGTAGGGTTGACGTGAAGCTAAAATAGAGGGAGATCTCCCCCAAGGATCCACCTTGTGCTGGGGGGGGGGAGAGATGGAAGCAACAATGTTTTAAAAATAATGTAGAGAAGAAGGGAAGGAGAAGGAGAAGGAGAAAGGGAAGGGAAAAGGAAGAAGGAAAGGGAAGGAAAGGAGGAAGGAGAGGGACAGAGGTGAAAGGAAAGGAAAAGAAGGAAGGGAAGGAAAGGAGGGAAGAAAGAAGGGAAGGAAAAGAAGGAAAGAAGGGAAAGGAAAAGAAGGAAGGGAAAAGAAGGAAGGAAAGGAAAGGAGGGAAGAAAGAAGGGAAGGAAAAGGAAAGAAAGGAAAGGAAAAGAAGGAAAAGAAAAGAAGGAAGGAAAGGAAAGGAGGGAAGAAAGAAGGGAAGGAAAAGGAAAGAAAGGAAAGGAAAAGAAGGAAAAGAAAAGAAGGAAGGAAAGGAAAG